ACACAAATATTTGGGTTTATTAATAACTTCCGATCTACGATGGAATTCGCATGTAGACTTCGTTTGTGCTAAGGCTAACAAAGCATTGTGGAGACTTGGGAGAAATCTGCACCATGCTAGCCCGGAAATCAAATGCTTGACTTACAAGGCTCTCGTACGGCCAATTATGAAGTACGCAAAGGTGGAATGGGATCCATACACAACAAGTAATCGCACTAAGCTAGATAGAATACAAAGATTGGCGTCACGTTTCATATTTAACAAATACCAGCGCTGCCACTCCCCAACTCAGCTTTGCAAGCTGGCCCACCTTGAACCATTAGAACAAAGGACAGAGTATGAAAGACCTAAATTACTCTTTTTGATCATTAAAGAACAAGTAAAAATAGACAAATCGAAGTATATGTATATAAAAACTGGGAAAACGTCAAGGCACCGGCATAACATGTACATCCCCCCTCCCAGATCACACAACGACTGTTTTAAGTTCAGTTTCTTTCCGCGGGCGATCAGTGAGTGGAACAGGCTGCCGAATTCCACTGTCTTGACGATAGCTTCGTTTTCGATGGAGGCAAAAATGTCCCAGGCTCAGGTAGTTATGTGTAAAGAACATACAAATATCAATTTTTTTCCGAAGGGCTTCACTACGACATGTCTCATAATCATGAAGTGGGGTCGACAGATTATGCCCCCTATAATAGGTATAACATTAATAATAATAATAATGATAATTTATAATAATAATAATAATAATAATAATAATAATAATAATAATAATAATAATAATAATAATAATAATAATAATAATAATAATAATAATAATAATAATAATAATAATAATATTATTATTATTATTATTATTATTATTATTATTATTATTATTATTATTATTATTATTATTATTATTATTATTATTACCCAATGAACGTGGCCAAGAATAGCCATAAGATTGATGTGCAGGTGCATGCAAGAGTAAAACAATAACATTCACAATACAAAACAATCTTCAGAAAAGAAAACAAATCAAAGAACCGAAAACGCACGAACAAAAGGAAATCAGTGCAAACGGGGATGGTAAAAAGACGGCACGAGAATTCTGTAATAAGGGTTAAATTTCTAGCGCAAGAGACGGAACTATGTGAATTGTTTCCTGAAGGAGGAAAATGGAAAATCGAGTACTTTGTGAAAAGCTGTGTTCATCCAGTGCTGAGATAAAAACGATTGAGGAGACATTGAAAAACATCGAGTTCGTGAAACTTCATAAAACTATTTTTGTTAGGCAAGATGGTACACGTTTACTGAAATGCAATAAAAAACGCGTATCACGAAAAAAAAGAAAAATTGAGGACAGAACAAAAAGGGTGTTACTCACAACAACATTTGTTCTCAGAACAGTAGCGACATACATAACCCAGTTACCATGTGCACGCACATCACCTCACGTGCTCATCAGAAACCACGTAATATGATTAATGAAGCGATGATTGAGAAAAGACCACTAAACGAAAAAAAGTATTCGAAGAAACTTATATCACCGCCATGCAGAGCAGCAGACGTGGCAATAAGAAATATATGCGACATCATTAAATTAGTCTGTTTCCATAATTTCATGGGCTAGGGTATCATTATTCTGTCTTCGAAGGGCCTTCCCGTTTTGGCCTTTATTCTTTTTCCTTGACGGTACTCGTCTTCTTGCCTTTTAGTAAGTTCATTATGACACACTTCTAGTGGGACCCCACCGATCTATTAATTGTGTGTGGCTGACTCGCAGGCTCCCGCTTTACACTGCGCCCTGCGACGCCTGAAAAGCCTGCAAGTGGTACATTTCAAATGTATTTTCAGGCCGGCCGACACGTGCGGCGTTACACGAGGTGTTATTCGAGTCTAATCGGCGTACTCATAGACCTAACATGGAAGTTTCACAAAAATAAAACAAGCATTTATTACAAGAAGGGCAATAAGGAGTTAACAAAAACAAATTAAGAGGATACAACAAAAACACGAGACGGAAAAGAACAACTACAAAACAAACTATGCTCTGAAAGAATACTACAAGTACAGACATTCAGCAGGTGGTAGGTTGATTAAATTACTGGATATGATGGAAACTGAAAGAGCTGCAAAAAATTCAGAAAGGTCGGGCTCACACTCTTGAGTTACTACAAGCGACTCAGCGCAGCCAATACACGCTTACAAAAATAGACTTTGAGTTAGAATTGACCATGTACCCAAGCCTTTTTGACTCAGTAGATAGTCAATTAAACGGCATCTACTGATGAGTGCGCTCAATGAAAAATTAGTTAATACGACGTACGAAAAAGTCAATTCACTCTCACTCTTTATTTTTTTAATTGACATGCGTTAAGAAATGTTCAATTGAACCGCAGTCACTACAGTTTTAATTGACATGCGTTAAGAAATGTTCAACTGAACCGCAGTCACTACATATTTAATTGGCATGCGTTAAGAAACGTAAAATTGAACCACCGTCACTACACGTTTAATTGACTTAGTACTGATCCCTTTCGATGAGGGATAGCTGATGATGAATGTTCACACCTATAGCTACATCAATATTGGGGACCCATGCACAAAACGTGTGTGTGTGTGTGTGCGTGTTCTGCAGTTTTATTGCGGGCATGTTTCTGCAAGATTCGTTCGTCATTATGGGCCCTGCATCATACATACTGTTGCAGCACTCCGGGAAGCAGCAATGTATTACATACAACTGTACGCCAGGAAATTTCTTCAGGTACTAGCTGTCCGACGCACGTGTTTCTTAATTGCGTGCACGGATATTTATCTCATACACACTACCGTGTAGCCGTCAAGAGTGGTAGATGCATTTTCTTCATTGACGAGAAAATATTTGCAAAAGTATTGTTCATTCGTTGTTTATAGCGATGCAGATTCTGTGCATTAGGAGACAGGGCCTATTTGATTATTATAATTCATATTACTTTATAATCATTATAATTATTTATTCAATAAAAGTTTGGTAAACACATAGAGAAGATGTATCGTGGTAGCAGTTCTCCGCGAAAAGATTGCAGATTCGCCACGCCTTTCAAAGGTCGGGCCCTTTTTCTCCTGCTGTCGACTCGAGCGGGGGAGATTGGTGGGCTACGGAATGCGCACTCCTTTGTTCGAAATCTCGCCGGTCTGACCGTTTTTTTTTCTTTTTTAGCAAGTCTAGAGCGGTGGTGGTTGCACGTGCAAGGAGAAACCACGGGGAGTTGGCGACCACTGAATGGGTGAAAAGGCGCCTGAGCCCTTTTGCTGTTGCAATCAAGAAAGTAGAGCGAGAAAAAGATAATTTGTAGAGTGCTTAACAGTGCGTTATAAAAACTCGAAACTTAGTTCTCAAACAAGCTTCACAATATTAGCTGCCAGTTACACCCGGGTGAAGTGAAAGTTTGAGATGGCTGCTTTAGGCTTGTTGTCTATCCCTCCATACGGCACTTCTTTCTTCACAATCACTCACCGGAGTCACACGTGTGGCTCGTACTTGTCACGTGATTTTTTTGCCCTGATTTCGGGGAAAGTGAGTGCCGTGACTTACGCAGACTATTTGCTGAAATGTGAAGAAGCTACTCCACTGCATCCGATGCAATTTTTACGGAACATGGACATTTGTGCTGGCGGCACGGCAGTTAATCAGACCCAACATCGCAACCTTCCCGCGAAAATATGGACACCTCGCTTACATGCAAGACTTCAGCGCATCTACCTTTCTGCGAACTACAGAAATGGACGTCGTCACCTTGATTTTAATCAACATTCACTGCATTTGCAGGATCTGCAAACCACGTGCTTTGCTTGATTATCTTGAAGGTAAGTTTGTCAATTTCCTTTGGCTTCATACGTTCTTTCGTAAGTTAGGAAAACCGAAAGACGTATTGAGCGTAGGTTGTTAGAATATTCAACTGCGTGATTATTCAGGTTCACAATATTGAGCCCTCCTCTTCTAAGTGCTTTATATTTATAACAAGGCCTTCTCTCTTCTTTTTGCCTTTCTTAAAGGCAGGCCTCACTCTAGTGATTCGGAAACAGGCGCTCCACCAACTAAATAATCTTAGTCGTCTCTATTCTCATGTTGGTAAAAATAAAGAAAGATGCCAACAGATCTGCGTTTTCCTTCTTGTATTGAACAATTTATAGAACACCATGCACCACTGGGTACGTGCGTGTGTGGTATTATTCGTGTGAATTGTGTATCTGGGTCTTAATTCGTGATTATCACCCAGTTTATACCTTCTTTGAGGGACTGAACGTGTTTCTATTTGAACTAGTGAACGCGACCAGAAATTGTCGCTCGGGCGAGTTTTTTAATGATCACCACTATTTTATTTCTAGCAACCGCTTAAAGGATAAACTGATAGCAATTAATTTGGTACCGCTTCCGAAACAAAATATTCAAGTGGCAAATTTTCTGTCTTGTTACTGGTCCCGCGAGCGTGCCGGAGCACGAGCGGCCCGTGCCCGCGGAGAGAGACGATACGCACAACAGCTGCTCAGCTAACGAAAAAGGCCTCCCCACTTTATTCGGGGCAGAATATATACAATCTCAGGGGTGCCACATGCTAGTGGCAGCCGAACTAAATGACTGAAGGGTGGCGACCTCTACATCTCCCCCCTTGAAGACCAGACGGAAGACGGAGGACGCCAGACACTGCACATCACAAGTTCAGGCGGTTCGGAGGCACAACACGGCGGCCACTACGTGTTCGTGTCACACCATCACTGCGGTCACTGTCTGCAAGGGGCAGTCCAAGGGAATCGGGTGGTTGCACTGTAGTAGTTCGCTGGGGTTCCAGAGGGGGCAGTGTTCGCTGTGGCTCCTGCTCCTCAGACGGCGGTGGTTCCACCCTTGGCGCAGGAAGTGCAAAAGGCACTAGGTGACGCCGGTTGCGTTGTAGGACGCCACCCTGCTCCGTTTCCAGGACATAACTTCGTGGTCGGCGTGCTGGGCTAAGCACTGTAGCTTTTACCTGATCAGGTCATACCCAGACACACTGGCCTGTTCGGAGCAATGACAGATCTTGAGCTCTGTGATGCCTGTTAAAGTCAGCGGCCTGTTTCTGCTTGTAGGCTGCATCTTTTCTCCTCACGTCTTTCCTCGACGGCCAGTGAGGACATAACTGGGAGTCCTGTTTCGGCACTTTGATTCGGAGTTGTCGTTCCATCAAGAGCTGGGCCGGGCTGAAGCCATCGACTCCGGGGGTGTCCCGGTAGCTGAGCAAGGCCAGATGAGGGTCTGTTGCTTTGCGAAACAACTCCTTGATGGTCCTGACCATTCTCTCCGCCTCTCCGTTCGATTGCGCATAGTGCGAGATGCTGGTGACGTGGTCAAAGCCGTAAGATGCCGCAAATGCTGCAAACTCGCGTGAAGAGAACAGTGGACTGTTGTCTGATCTGACTTCTCGCGGAATTCCATGCCGGGCCAAGATGCTTTTGAGAACGTCGATGACTGCCTGAGTCGTTGTGCTCCTCAAGGTTACAACTTCAGGGTACCTGGAGTGGTAGTCTACCACCAAGATGAATGTCTGGCTGCTGAGGTGGAACAGGTCCATGCCGACAAGTTCCCAGGGACGTCCAGGTAGGACCGTGGAGACCAGGGGCTCTGCAAGGTTCACCCGAGTGGAAGCACATTGCTCGCTGTTAGTTACCAGAGAGGTAATGTCTGCCGAATAGCCAGGCCACCAAATGGACTCTCGAGCGAGAGCTTTCGTCCTGTTGATGCCTTGGTGTCCTTCGTGCAACAGCGTCAAAACAGCCGGCCGAAGAGAATGCGGGATGACCATCGTGGCGCCTTTCAGTAGAACACCGTCGCAGACAGAGAGCTCATGTGCTGCTGAGGCGTACTGGGAGAGGTGCAGTGGCAGTTTGGACTTCTGTGGCCAACCATTCTGGCAGAAGGAGGTGAGGGCTGTGCATTCGCCATCGGACTATTGTGCTTGTCGCACGTCCTCTGGGCTTAGGGGCAAGGCTTCTGACATGCCGCTGACCACTTGAGCTACAAACAATTCCACGGTGTCCAGGGGGAGGGACGCCTTTTGGGTGATGCGTGACAAGGTGTCTGCCGTAGCTAACAGCTTTCCTGGCACGTGGAGCATTCGGAACTGGTATCGCATGGTGTTTAACCTGAGCCTCTGTATGCGAGGCGGCAGCATGTCCAGCTCCATCTTGCCGAAGAGAGAAACGAGTGGTAGGTGATCTGTCTCAACACCAAAGGTGATATCGCGGACGAATTCGTCAAACCGTTGGATAGCCCATGTTGTTGCCAACGCTTCCTTTTCTGTCTGGCTGTAACGCTGCTCTGTCTCGGTCATTGATCTCGAAGCAAACGCAACTGGGCGGCGCTCTCCAGAGGGCTGTGTCTGCAGCAAGACTGCGCCCAGTCCGAATGAGCTTGCGTCAGCCGAAACTGTGGTGGCGTATGACGGATAGTACTTGGCCATGCAACGGTCTGATGTCAGGAGTTCCTTGATTTTCTCGAATGCAGCATTTTGTTTCTGCTGCCACACCCAAGTCGCAGACTTGTTTAGAAGTGCTCTGATGGGAGCTGTGATCTCTGAGATGCAAGGCAAAAACCGGGCAAGATGGTTCACCATTCCGAGCAGTCGCCGGACACCTGCGATGTCGGTTGGAGCCTCCATGGCTTTGATTGCTTCGACCTTGTCTGGACTTGGCCTGATGCCTTGTGCTGAAACGATGACTCCTATTAAGGAGACTTCGGAGACACCAAAACGACACTTGTCTTGGTTCAACGTGATGCCTGCTTTTGCAAGGCGAGACAGCACCTGGTTCAGTCTGGCATCGTGCCCCTCGCGGGTGCGCCCAAAGACCAGAATGTCGTCTATCATATTGGCGACTCCTTCCTGGCCCTCCAGGATCCTGCCCATCTGTTTTTGGAAGTACTCCGGTGCGGAGATGATGCCAAAGGGGAGCCGGCAGAAGCAGTATCGGCCAAATGGGGTGATGAACGTTGTGAGCTCTTGGGAGTCTGCAGATAGTTTAACCTGATGAAAACTGGCTGTTGCATCCAGCTTAGAGAAAACTGTTGCGTCGCCAAGGAGGCCAAAGACTTGCTCTACCGTTGGTAGGATGTGGCGTTCCCGAAGGACAACCTTGTTCAGCTGAGTCAAGTCAACGCACAGCCGGAAGGAACCATCGGCTTTCCGTACTACAACGAGACCAGAGCACCACGGGTTCGGTTTGTCGACCCTGCGGATCACGCCTTCTTCCTCCAGTTTGTCAAGCTCGTGACGGACGACCCCGAGTAGCGGGATGGGAATCCTGCGAGGCACACTTAGGGAGAAGGGTACAGCGCCAGGTCTCAGAAGGATAGTGTACTCGTCCTTGAGGGTGCCCAATCACTGGAAGAGCTCTGCACGCAGTGTTGCTTTCGGAGTCTGAAGTTCGTTGAGAAACTTTACAACTTCCAGAGGTTGAAGCGCCGGCAGTCCAAGAAGAGGTACGGTGAGAGACTGGATCACGTACAAGCGCTGAGAGCTTATTTTCCCGTGCCACCGAAGTCCCGCCATGTACGAACCCAGCACGCGCAGCGGCTGACCGCCAGGTCCGGTGAGCAAGCTGTTGACGGGGTCGAGCAATGCAGGGAAGCCGCTCGGAACGGCGGACACCTCGGCTCCGGAATCAACCTTGAACTGCGCTGTGTAGTTGTCAACGATGATGTCGACGAACTTTGCCGCGGCGAGCGTCCCGACAGCGTGTAGCTGAATGGATCCTAGCTTCTGTTTTGCCTGCCGCGTGCGGCACACTTCCGCAAAGTGTCCTTTCTTTTTGCAGAAGTTGCAGACGGAGTTTCGAGCAGGGCAGTTAGAACGTGGATATGGCGCGCGGCCGCAGAATTCACATGTTGACGGCTGGCAGAAGCGCTCTGCTTTCCGCGGGGGCGAAGGCCGCTTATTGTAGTTGCGGCGGCGAGAGGCGAACTTCTTATCTCGTACGGCGTCGAGGTGTAGCTCGCGGGAGTGCTCTGCGCAGTTTTGAGGCAACGTTTTTCTTTGTCAGCGTCTTCTGATTGACGGGCCTGCATCCATGCTTCTTTGAGCGTCAACTTCGCGTTCCGGCAAAGCTGGTCCGAAAGGCGCGAGTCGCGGAGGCCGACGACGAATCTATCGTGTACAAGCCTTTGCTTCACCTCAGCTGACGGATAGTTGCACCGCTTCACCATTCTACACAGTTCGGCGTAGTAGGCGTCGACGCTCTCGTCGGGTAACTGAACACGCCGGTGAAAACGCGACGACTCGTACAGTTCATTCGCCGGATGCACGAAGTGGTCGGTGAAGCTGGCGGCAACCGCTTGAAATGAGGCGAGTGATGCGGTGTCGAGCGAGAACGTCTCAAGAAGTGGGCGGGCCTCCGGCCCCATGCAGTACAACAACGAGCGTACCTGCATGCCGCCGGATGCTTGAGTCAGGCCGGAAACGACAGCGTAGTCCTCGTAGCGGCTGAGCCATGCTGGCCAGGTTCCCGGGTTCACAAAGTCGAACTGTGCGGGCGGGTGGAGGTTGAGGCTGAGCTTTTTGGCGCCACTCCGTCGAGGGCCATCGTCGTGCGGTACGGGCGAGTTCGCGATGAGGGCGCGTTAGGCAGCCACTTCTGGCATCATGTCTTGTGACTGGTCCCACGCGAGCGTGCCGGAGCACGAGCGGCCCGTGCCCGCGGAGAGAGACGATTCGCACAACAGCTGCTCAGCTAACGAAAAAGTTCCCCCACTTTATTCGGGGCAGAATATATACAATCTCAGGGGCGCCACATGCTAGTGGCAGTCGAACTAAATGACTGAATGGTGGCGACCTCTACATTTTCAAGAAATATAGGCGTAAATATTTGAAACTTGCATAACACGCTTGCTTATTGATGATTTCGACCGAACACTTTAAGGGTTGAATATACACTCCTCTAAATTGTTTTAATTGACACTTGGTACGAAAAGTCATCAGCTAGTCAATAATTCCTTTTGACTCGCTCAAAAGACGCTCAATTCATCTGCAAAAATTGATATTCAATAGTAACACGCGGCAAATATCTTTATGTAACTCAATAGGAAAACTCAATAGACGCTTAATTTAAACACAGTACATCCTATGAAGAAAAGTCAATTTAGCCTCAAATAAATAGCTATAAGCATTTTGGTATGGGCAAATATGGAAAGCTGGGTACGAAAAATGAACGCTTGAAAAAAATTTCAATAAAAAGTTCCATACGAACCAGGCCAGGACATGTAGGGGAGCTGACAGAGTGCCGCTGAAGGTCTTGTCAGCTTAGTAGACGGGCAGAGCGCCCGGTGTTGCACTGGTCTCAATACGTTGTGCGGTACCCCCCATGGCCGCCGCCTGCGTGAGACTCGCTACACCGACGACCGCGCTTTTCGTTGGTTCAACGTTAAAATGACGAACCGGTGCCGCTATAAAGAGATTCGCCCGGTTTGCAAGTGCTAAGGACGTCCCTGATCGTTCTACGTCAGGGGCGTTCGTCAGTACGAGTCATGGTGCCCATCGCGTCTTGGACGCCTTCAAAGGCGCTTTTCTTCGACGTCGTTGTCCCTACGGGGACTAGTGCCGAGACCGTCGTTGATGTGACGGCCTCAATAGTCGGCCTCTCAGAGGTATAATGTGTGCAGCATCAAGGAGCTCGAAACTTCCAAGTCACCGTGAAGAGCATGGCCTCCATGTCTCTAATCGTCAATGCTTGCTGCCTGGTTATTGGCGGTGAGCGTGTTCAAGTCGTTCCCGTTGGCCCACAAGTGACCAACGTCGCCTGCCTGTTCCTGCTATCGTTCGTCTCAAACGAAGCTCTCGTCCAACTGTTATCCCCCATATGGCAAGGTGCTCACTGTCGCCATTGGTTTGATGGGCGGGCGACGCGGCGTACTCACAGGAACGCGGTATGTTCGAATGGAGATGAACGTCGCTAATCCTGTGCCGAACTACCTGCGCATCTCCGGTCACCGTGCTACGTTTGACTACCGTTGTCCGCGGGGGCGAAGGCCGTGTATATCGAAGATGCGGCTCAGGGGACCATCTACGAGCCCCGTGCAATACACCATACTGTGGTCGCTTCGGTGTGCACGGTCACGTTAGTGAAGGATCTAACCGCCCGTGTCGACACTGCGGGGACGGCCACCCAACTGTGGTTTGCCCTGTCCGCCGCTCCTACTCGGACGCTGCCGCTGGTGCCTTTCCACCACTGACTCCGACAACGGAACCAACTACCGACTCGGGGGACGCAGAGGAGGTCACCGACGCTGTGCTGGCCTCACCTCTACAAGTTTCTTTAACGGAAGCGCACAACGAAAGCGCGATTGTCGATGCGACGCTTGTCGCGTCGGCCTCCCCGCTGGTGCAGGAACCGTGCGCTTCGAAAGACGCAACGCACTGCCCTGCCAACGGCGTCGGCGTCTCTTCTCTGACGCCACTTGATGTTCAGTGTGAAAATGACCCCAGTTCTCAGGCTGTTGCTGTTGGAGTTGACCCTACGAGCCCTGTTATTTCGGAAAACAGTGGCGAAAATACCACAGACTCTTCTGTTGCGGCCGCTCCGACCATTTCGACATCGCATCGTACACGTAAAAAATCGCCAACACAAAGCGTGCCTACACCAGCCTGCCGAGAAGTGGAAAGTGCTGCCAGCATCAAGGATGTGGATCCAAGCTTGCCGGCGGCTCAGTCCCGACCTCCTCAGGACACGTCTTCGGAAGACGGCTTCAGCCTGGCACTGGATAGTAGCATCGGACTGTCTAGCCTTGCTGATTTGGACGTCAAAATGGGAGCTC